CTCCCTCTCTCTCTCTCTCTGTGTGTGTGTGTGTGTGTGTGTATACACGTCTCACTCACTCTCTTCCTCTGTGCCTTTAGGAAGAAAGAATGCCAACCATTTCCCATTAAATCTTCTCCTTACACTAGACAGGGTTATATTTAACTTCATCCCTGGATCAGATGCCCCCATCATGAATACGAACTATTAAAACCATAGCACTGGTAATTCTGTTAACAGAAACCACAAGGCAATTTGGATAAACAACAGAGGAGGAGGACGATGAAGGGAGAAATAAACTGGACTCTAAACAGCATCCCTTTGTACTGCCAATCAGAGACTGACATCAAGACAGATAAAATCCCTGATAGATTATCTTCTACATGGCTCGAACTAGAGATCTAGACAAGAGGACCTAATATCTCTGTATAATCAATACTTCTCTGCATTTATTTATGTATGCATTCTAGCCACACACTATTCAGCAATTTATTATTATTTAGTATCTAAATTAAGATTACAGTATCACTTGTTGTGCTGGGCATTGTATAAACAGTGAAAAAGATTAGCCTTCCCCAAAGAGCTTGCTGACAAGATACAACAGGTGGATGAAACAATACATGGGTAGCTGTGAAGCAACACGGAAGTGCAATCAGTTCTGGGGGCGATGAGAGGCAAACAAACACTGCCCAGCAGCATGGGGAGAGAAATTGGGTGGGCAGGGAAATGGGAATAGACATCTGCAGTTATAAAAAGGGACGTGGTTCTTTACTTTCCACACAGGAACTTGATGCTTACTCCTAGTAACTAGTTTTGCAGTTATGTTCATCTTTTCAGATAACCAGTGTGGGGAGTAACAGGTTGGCTGGACACTTTCAGTGTTTCCTACAAAAAAGGCAAACTTTGCATGTGAAAAGCTGCAGCAATGCCCTGCTGGTATAGATGTCTTTTGAGTACACATTTTTTTTCTTTCTGTCAAGGCTAACTGAAACATTCTGGATTCCTTCCAAAGTGGAGTGTTTCCATTTATTAGAGTTCACTTGCCAGTAGAGACAGAGGCAATGACGTGTTACCCTGGGTGCTAATTATCATTGAAAAAACACCAAAATCACTAATGCACAACATAACCATTCCAAATAATGCTAGTTAAACAGTCCCACATTTTACATTTAGTACATTTCAAACATACTAAATGAACCCTTGTGGCATAAAATTCAGAGACAAAACGGAACAATTCTACACACCCTAAAATGGTTGAAGTCACTGTTATTTCTGTCCTTAAAGCAAAAGTAGTAACTCTTGGAAGCCAGGCAGTCCACCAGGCCCTGTGAAGGTGCAACGCACTGGGGTTGTTTCTTTCAGTAAAAAATCCAGTCTTACTTCTACTAAATCTAGAACTCCTAGAGATTTCAATCGAAGACAGATCAAGGACTATGAAAATGACCTCTCTGAGGATTAACAAAAATAATCCTATGCTTGATTAAAAGCTTCTCTCAAGCTTTCTTGAACTTCCTCAGACAAATGATTGATTTTCTCAGCCACTCAACTTTGGGTCAGATCCAAAGCTTGTTGAAGTCAATGGAAAACTTCTATTCATTTCAGTGGGTTTTGGAGGAGGTCCTTACAAACAGTAAAGAGGTTTTTGGGAGTCACATTGGGGAAGCCCTACAATGATCACCTAAAGAACAATTACTGCTAAATAAAGGCATATTTTTCCTTCAGATTCATACCACTGATTGCTGGCCTTAAGAAAATGCATATGAAAGGTGTTTCACTGGCCCAGCATCATAAGGATTCCCTCTTTTTTCACAAACCAGTTTGATTTTTTGGTGCAGTGATGTTACCATAAGGAACTGAACCATGTGTATTTTACATGAACTTTACTTACATCTTACTTGGAATTGTTGCTCCGACAGTAGTACTACTATGCATAGAATGGAAATACATTGATTTTAGCAGTATTTTAATGTTCAATTCCAGTAGCTTTAAGAAACAAACCATCGCATCCTGCAGAACTCACATGAGTTATTGCACTGACATAGCTAGGGCTGCACGGTTTGCAAGATCTTCCTCAAGGAAACCGTTCGATCACCAGGACCTATAGCATGTGCATTTCAGACTTTTTGTCCATGACATTGGAATATTTCTATATTTTTATTTTAGAGAATAAGCTAGGACTTAGTGCTGTGGGTTTTTTTGTTTGCTTGTTTATATTGATGCTACAATTCCTAAGTAAATGTCAAGCCTTGAAAAATCTTTGTACCAGGAAAATGAAAGTCCTCACAAGCTCCTGCTCTGTTAACCATTTCTGGCCCTTTTTAGTCCAAAGCTGAGCCTCTGAATGGTGTGGATGCAGCAGGCCTCTCTATCAGTCCTCCCACGTAAATGTAATTTATTAACTTGTCTTTTCTGTCCAAGAATTAATGACAATTCAATTAAAGATACGGCTTCTTCTCAGCCTGATCCACTTGTGGCTGGCAGCTTCTTCATCTACAGGCCAAAGGAGAATGAATGCAACCAAAAAGAATCTGCAGTAATCTTAAAGTCTTATACAAGCACTTAATTAAAAGGCCAAAACCAACCAAGCCTTTTCAATTCAGATGACTGAGACATCTTCAACAGAGAGAGTGGGGTAAAAGGAAAACAACAAGACATGGTTTTAATGCAATAATTTAATATCCAGTTATGTCTGCAAAGCACACAGTGCAGAAGAAATATCTTTTCATTTAATTAGTGCAGGAGTTGGAAAAGATAATTTGTAATTATGTTTTCCTTACTAAATCTGCAGGATATTTATTCAGCAGTAATTTAACAGCCACTGGGTTTTATTAATAAGAACCTGTTTTTTGTTCAAGGGAGTTCATAAAAATATGTCCATTTCCCATTAGTTTTAATTTTTATAAAGGAACTAACATTTCCTCATATGCAAGCATCAAAAATACTTGCTGAAGTAAAAGAGGCAACAAGAACAAAAAGCAAAGAATGGCCTCAACATTTCCATGTTATTGTATTCAAAACAATAAAACAAAGGTATCAGGATTATGGACACGTTGGAAAAAAGCTGACAACTCTGTGATGAGCTAAATCCAGCCAAATGAAGAAAAAACCCCTGGCGTATTCCACAGTTTCAGGCACACTGGTAATCCAGCAAGATATCAAGTGACAGTACAGTCAGCCAGTTAAACACAATATACTGTTATTAAGGCTTCAAAATACTCATTGGATGAATAGATCAAGAGGGTAAGGCATTGTTGCCTAGTAACTCCTGAAGGTGATTGGCTTTGCAAATTAAGCACTTCGTAGGTGTCACGTACCAAAAAGCAACAAAGTCCTCAGGGTTCCCTTCCCTCTCTATTCAGCTCTCAACTTCTGCTGCAATAAAAAAGCAAAAGCTGTTTGAGGAAAGCCATTTGATTTTCTATATTCTCCAGGTTTATTTGATTAGAGATAGCTTCCAAAGCTGAACTCTGGAATCCAGCTTCCTTGAAACTGAAGGATGTTCCAATACAAATGCAAACTTCAAACTTTTTCTTCTTCTTTTTAATCCTAAGGGATACTTGTCCTTTTTCAATTCAAGCTAAACAACTAAAACAGCTGCTCACATGAATAAAGGTTGTGGGATGCTTGGAGAGTAGCTTCAATCAATGCTATCAGAAAGGATCCATTCAGTTTTGAACGTTTAATATCAAAGTGCTGACATTAACAAAAATAGCTCTAATAATTTAAGCACTGAAAGAGTTTATTTGTTCTGGCACTCTCCTTCTCCTGAGTGGCTCATCTTGTACAACACTTGGCTCCAAGGTAGTCGAGTCCTGGATATAATATAACTGGATAAATAATAATTGTGTTCACGGGAAGGTGAATCCTAAATAAGAGTCTAATATAAAGCAGGGCTTCCATTTGTGTTTATATCCTCTGCAACTGATTAATAGCGGGAGAAGACGACAGCCCACTGGGTAATTGTTTCATCTCCCTTTCATTTGGATTGCCCTTCTTACTCTGAATTACTTTTAGAGTAATACTTGTAGAACTCACCAGGAGGACTAATATCACCACAATACTGCTGCAAGCATGAGACAGGAGAATACAAGCCAGTAACTGACTCTGAAGATTTGTTATTTAAGTGATTTGTAAATCTACCTTGGCAAGAAGTACAACCAGTTAAATACTTCAAAGTACAAAACACTGGTATGTGAACAGTCTTACTGGAAAAGTGTTACCAATACAGCTTTCCATTAACTCTAGCCCTATGGTGGTCTGTGCCAAAGAATGCCACGGATGCTCGCAATGTAGCTGCACTGTACCCTACTCTCTATTACTGTAACGCTTTTCAGCTCACTAAGATGATGCACAGGGGTCTTAGAGCTAGTGCATCTGCCCACAGGAGAACATCCATCACATTGCTGGCTCTTGATCAGCACCCCTTGCAGTCCCTAGCATGACAGGGTGTTGGCGAACTGACCAGAGCATTCACTGGATTTCAAATGATTCAGTGAAGGATTGTAATGCTGAGGTGGTGGGCAACCTCAGCAGTCACTGGAATTATTTACTTTGTTCAAGTTAAGCACAAGGTTAAGCACCTTACTGAATCAGGGTCTAAAGTGTGTAAGTAAGCCTAAAAATAATTTTACCAGAGCATTTGCATTTCACTGTTTTTCCAAGGGGGTCCTCCTACCTTTAGATATGCCACAACCCCAAGATCTGGTGAAATCAAGCAGAGGTGACAACCGTATGTGAGGTGCGATTGTACTACATGTATGCACCAGCTTGTTTCAGGGAAGGACTGAGCCTGAGAATGTGGGTCAGAGGTCCTGAATATTTATACAGCTAGGAATTAAGAAACCCCAGCAGCACCCTATTGTGCAGGCGTGCAGAGAAGCCAGCCACTTAACATTGTCTAACCATTCCGGTATGCCAGAGTTGTCGTCTTCTAAATAGAGGATAACAGCTGAAC